AGGGTTTTGAGATTTGCATGTTTGGGAAAAGAAAGGGAAAGAAATGAAAGCAAATTATTTTAATAAATGGACTATTATACCCTTATATATATATATATATATATATATATATATATAATCTCCTATACGTGGACACAAGAAACGAAAAGAAAAATTAGGGCAAATCATTTCAGCCTCCCCAAAGAAAAAATAATAATAATTTAGGATAAATCATTTCAGCCTCCCCAGTCTCGCCTCCATCTCTATTCTTGTTCTCAACTCTAAACTTGCCCTCTCTCTCTCTCTCTCTCTCTCTCTCTCTCTCTGTGCACTACAAAAATCAGAAGTTCAAAACCCATATATTTCAGTTTATCTATCTATATGCAAGAATCAAAAGTTCAAAACCCGTATCCGTATATCATTTTAGATTGTTCAAAAAATCAAAACCCATATCTTTTAGTTTCCATCGCCGTTGTTTCAGTTCGGGTTCGCCGTTCACAAGCTTCAGTCACCGGCCCGCCGTCTCTCAGCAACTGCTAACTTGTATGTATATTGTTTCGCAAACTTGTGTAATCTTGAAGGTAAAATTGGCATCATAACTCCTCCATCAGTCATTGCCTTTATTTTCCTTCCATTTCCTTCCATTTTTGAGAGGATAAGAAAAACATTGTTGAAACTTTGACATAACCTTTCAAACCCTTCCCTTTCCTTTCAACAATTTTTTCCAAACACAAATTTTTAATCCCTCTCTTTTACCTTCCCTTCCCTTTCCACCTTTTTTCCGTTGCACCAAACTGACATTAAAAGAGAATGAGTGGAAGCTTGGTTGTAAATTGTGATACTGCTTTTATTATAAAATAAAAAATTAAATAAATAAAAAGGAAACTAAATACTACGTAGTACTCCGTATCATTCTAGTAGATTAAGGACCCTAAAAGAGGAGTTGGAAGATAATATATATATATATATATATATATATATATATATATATATATATTAATTTTTTTATATTTTTTTGTTGTAAAATATTTACGAAAAAATATATATATATTAAACTCTACCAGGCTTGATGTACTTGACATCAACTTTGACCTACACTTTGGTCATACATTGAAAAATAAAATTGAAAAAATATATTGTTTACCTCAAAATTTTAACTAATTACACACTAGTAAAAGTTTTCAAAAAAGGGTTAAGTGTACTAAACGGTGTCAAGCACCTGTTCACTAAAACATAAAATTACCATTTTGCCCATTAATAAACGAGTTCGTATCATTGATATACAACTTTTGTTGCTGAAGTGGCATTATAATATCATTATCCAATGAAAATCTGACAAGTCAAGAGGATTACAATTCAATTATTATTTTTAAAATATTAAAAATAATACTATTATTTATTTATATATATCTTTTCTTCCGACCATCAAACCAACCCAGTCGCAACTGCCCCAAATTTTTTTTTTCTTTCAATCAATTCCTTTCCAAACACTAACATGTGCAACAAAAACAATTTTTTTGTTGAATTATTTTTCACCTTTTATTGTTCTAGCCAGGGGCGGAGCCAGGAATTTGGTTCAGGGGGCATGTTAATACTAATAAAATAATTTTTTTTCAAGCAGGCCGAAAATATGCTAGTGTAATAAAAGTGTATTAGAGTAAGCGATTAAAAAATTAATAAGAAGAGAAAAAAGAAAAAGAAGGTTATCGCACATAAATTATGCATTAGTGCAAGAAAAAGAAATTTTTAAGAAGAAAAAGGAATTTTTTAAGAAGAAAATGAAATAAAAGGAAAAAAATGAAAGAGAATGCAAAAGTTTTGAAGATGATAAAAAGCTATTTGAAAAATAAGAAGGAAAATGAATAAAGAATTATAGACACTTTTAGAAATAGATAATTTTATGGGGATAATTTATAAATTTTATAAGGGTGTTTTATAAATATTTAGAAATTATACGCATAAAATAAAATAAAATTTAGTGGGTTCAGGGGTAGAAGAGCCATTTTATTAATTTTAGGGGGGGGGGGGGGCATTATGTCAATTTTTAAAATTTTATGTATAAAAATATATATATATTCTAGTAGGGATGCATGGGCAGGGGGCAGCTGCCCCCCCTGGGCACATGCTGCCTCCGCCCCTGGTATTAGCCGCCGCCAGAGATGGAGGATAAAGAGGGGGGGGGGGGGGGGGAAAGGGTGGTAGATTGTAAAGAGAGAGGGGGTGGCGGCGATCGTGGATGGTGGAGGTGGTTACGAGAGAAGAAAAATCTTTGTGGGGGAGAGAGCAGTGGCAGCCTTGGACGGACAGTGGTGGGAGGGAGAGGGAGGAAGGACGTGAGTATATATATATATTTGTATATATAATATTCATTTAATAATCATAAGGTTATTTTTGTCTTTTAAATTTTTTGTCTTTTAAATTTTTTGTCTAATCACGGCGTCAGGTGCTTTCTTTGGACACGTTAGATTTCAGACGGCCATTTTTGGTGTGTGTGAATGGAATCAAACGAAGTGAGAATGGAATGCTTTTATTTCCATTCTTTAGTTTGGTGACTTACTTTAAAGTTGGAATGATGATTATTGCCCATTCTCGAGAATGGTGATTCCCACTAATTCATTCCACTTTCCAACTAAATGAATGACTATTTCATTCTCACTTTAAAAATAATAATAATAAATAAATGAATAAAACAAACATTTAATGAAATGTTGGCTATATATATATATATATATATATATATATATATATATACATATTTATATATGTTTTACAAAAATAGTATATGTTTTTTTTTGTGCAACTAAACATGGGAATGAGAATGGTCTCATTCCCATTCTATTCTCTAATTTATTCCATTCCCACTTTATTTCATTCAGTCACACAAAACTAGCCCTAAGTGTTTTGCTGATAATTCAGAGAGTTTTTTGAAAGAGAAATATTCAAGGGGGTTTGATGCATTTAACCCTTCAAAAAATTTGCACTAACCTCCCCCTTTAACAATATGGGGCTATAAAGTCAAACTAACGCACAAGGACGAAAGTTTTCAAAAAAAATTGCACTACCTTTCCCAACAATTTAGGGTTATAAAATTATTTTTATACTTAAATTATCTTGATAAATTACACTGATTTCTCTTTAAGTTTGGATAAACTACACACGAACAAATCGTTCAATATTTTATACTTTAACCTCCTTTGAAATTTGGCGTGTGTTCAACGACATATCTAACGTACGTTTTCTTTATGACAAACTACCAAATTTAATAAAAATAAAAATTTTGTCATTCCCTTATATAAAATAATAATAATTACTTTACGTATTGTAAGGGCATTATTGACTTTTGATACTCAAAGTTACCTTTTGACAACCCGTGAAAGTAATAAACAAATGATGCTGAATAATTTTATCCATATATAATTTGTCCAAATCTTAAAAGAAATTAATGTAATTTATCCTAAAATTTAATTGTAATGGTAAAATTTTATTTGATATAAATTTTCCAAATGTAATTGAAAATTTCTAAAATATATACTTCACGTACACGGAGTAAGAATAAAAAAACACGTGATGGCCTTAAGACGAGCTACAAATTAAAAGAATTGGGCATGATATATCTAATTCATGCATAATATAATAAAAATTGGATACAAATTTTTAACCCTAGTTAGTATCGGCAATAAGTTTGAAAAGTACCTAAAAACATCAAATCGTATGATTTTATGAAACCATGTGCTTATGGCTCGAATTTCCAATAGGGCAGTTGATGACAAAGTCCATATCTAAGGAATTTACAGGATGCGATAGACTAAATGTACATGGTTGGGCTGGTCATAAGACCCAGCCCAAAAGGAGAAAATAAAAAAAAAAAAAGAGCTTTGGCCCAACAAAACATTGATTAAACTGTTGGGCTGCAGGGACCTGTCACCGGAGGTTTGTCGCGCGGAGATATGTTACGTGGCGCACTGGTCTCGCATTCCAAGCACGACAGAATTAGGACACTTCTAAACCGCATATTCCTTCGAATGTACTACTCTTCTTTCCCACCAACTCAATACCATTACTTTAAATAATAAAAGAATATGAAATATTCTAAATACAAATGATTGAAATATAAATTATATGGAAAGTCATAACTTATTGCTCAATCATATACAAACAGTCAAACATACACATCAATACCCTCCTTCAATTTTTACTTGCCTTCAAATTATCCCTCTCCAATTGAAGGTTTTTTTTTTTTTAGGGTTTAGGGTGCTTTTATGGTTAGAACTTTTACTTTAAAGATGTATTACGTCATTTAAGAAAATTGAGTGATTTGTGAGTGGAGAGGGAGTTTCATCCAATGACATTATTTTGATATTATTTGTTGAGGTTCATATCCGGTTATATATATGAGCCATTTTACATCAAATTAAGAGGTTGTATCATTATTCTTAATTCAAAACTGTATCATATAAGAATTTTACCCGTATAGTCATCTTTACACCAGTATTTCAAATTATAAAACTATTAGAAAGATGTACCATTTATTTAAAAATGTATCACTACTATTTCAAAATCTTACCACATGACAATTGTGTAAGTAAATTATAATTTTGCACCTAAACAAAAATTTATACCCTATCATAAACTATATAATTGTACTATATTAGTGAGTTAATTGGCACCAGGCCTAATTCCTCTTGAGTTGGTGTATGGTGTCTTCCCCCCTCTTAATTTGTTAGGAGAAAAAAAAAAAAAAAAAAAAAAAAAAGTATATTTAAATAAAAAATGTTTATTTTGAGCAAGTGTTGTAATAGACACTTCTACCCCATTCACATCAATTGACCATTGTGGACTCTAAACTATTATCACTCGTTTATTTTATTTTTTTTTATCAATAGACAATTAAAATTGGTTTTATAATAATTAGTTTTAAGGGTGTGCCAAAAATTGATGATATTTAATTATTGTTGGGACTCAATTAATTGTCGCTTTTCTTTTTCACTTTTTCATACAAAACGCCCAGTGCTGTTTCTAGCCCTTTCTCTGTCTCTCTGTCTCTCTCTCTCTCCACAATATGGTAAAGTAAGTGTAGTATCCAAAAGCGAATATACCATAGTCGCCACCATCAACCGCGCATTTTAACAACCAGTTCCACCTCTCTCTCTCTAAAATCCCTTTATATAACCGTCAAAAAAAGCCGGTACCAGAATCTTCAACTATCTTTCTATCCTCTCTCTGGATATTATCCCAATTCTACTGTGTATAAAAGTCATGAAAGTTGACAAGGAACAAGACTGTAATGGCGCGTGCAGAACCATCGAGGTCGCCGTCGTCGAGCCCCATGTCTATCCGGTCACCGGAGATGACAACGGCGAAGGGTTGTATGTTCCTCCTCTCAACTTCTCCATGGTCGATAATGGCATCTTCAGGTCCGGTTTCCCAGACACCGCCAACTTCTCCTTCTTACAATCCCTAGGTCTCCGTTCCATCATGTAAGTAGTGTATGTTCATATTCATTCTTCAACTCATCATATTGAAGTGATAATTTACGATTTTAGGGTTTTTGTGTGTGTGTGTGTGTGTGTGTATATATTATGTGCAGATGTTTGTGTCCCGAACCATATCCAGAGCACAACACAGAGTTTCTGAAGTCGAATGGGATCAGGTTATTTCAATTTGGGATCGAGGGATGCAAGGTTTGTTTCATTTCCATTAATTTGATCCTCGTTTCATTTCCATTAATTTGATCCTCGTTTTGCTCTTACGTTGATCGAGTTTGTATATTATGACTCCTGTTTATCTATTTATCATGATGTTAAGTTTGATCTGATTAGCTATAGAATTTGATATTTAAATTTGTTGTGGTAATTTTGATGTCGAACAATTGGGATCATAGTTGTTAAAGGCACAAGCCTAATCGAAGTAAGGAGTGTGTATATAATAATGCATAGTTAACCATATAATATTATATATATTCATAATCAAGCAGCAGTTAATGTAAGTAGTGAACCATAAATTTATGAACTTTGTCAAATATTTCAGAAGGTTCAAACAATAAGATAGATGATATAGAACCTTTTAGTTTACTAGTCATCAAGTAAAAAAGAAAATGATATGAATAAATGATTAAAAAATACAAGGCGCGCCCTTTTTTCAGTCTGGAGCCAACTAAAAAGTGTGAGCCTACGTGAGCCTGATTGAAGGGGCCTGGCCCGTAGTAGGTTGAGGCGCTCTAGCTGAGCCTTGACGACCCTGGGGCTTTTTCGAAGCTAGGCGCGCCTTTAACAATTATGATTGGGATTGCATTAATAAAGCTTTATTTTCAATAAAGTGGGCTGGAGTTGATGGCTCTTTAGGATTTATAAACTATGTGAATTCTTTAATTTCTTTTAGACGTTAAGTTTATCACAGAACTTGGAAGGGAATTAGAAGCAGAGTTATATCATCTTTTCCTCCTAGTAATTTTGCAATGCATAATTTGTTCGTTTCTGTTACTATTCTATAATTTGAAGTACCTTTTTTTAAGAGAGCAGAAAAGAAAAAAAAAAATTTACTTTTCCTGTTCTCTTTTGAAAATTCATCTGCCAATATTTAATGCAATGTAAGAGTACACGAACTTCCTAGTTTAGGATAAGAAATCATCGAAGATGGAATCCCTGCATAAGGGCTGACATGTGACCTAATATCATTCTTCAACAATTGTCACATGCTTTTGTTCTTTTGTGTGTGTGTGCATTAATGGGTATATTATTATATCTATATATATTCACTATATTATATGTATTTGGGCAGTGTCCTCATGAATACTTGATGGATGCACAATCTAAATTATTGTCTCGCATCATTTCATATGTGCAGGCTGAAAAATGTAGTTTATGGAATTTTTACCCTTTCTTGTTCGGTTGTGCAATTGTCATTCTGTATTTTCTTATTATTTCTTGTCCTTTATCGTTTCAATTTTTTGTATCCTTCACGTATCTTGTAAGCATTTATTCTATCTCTGAAGTGAAAGCTGATATGAAACAAGTTAGTGACTTCCCTTTTTAACTGTTTAATTTGGATTGAGGTTGGATTGACATCGTAGTGATTTTGTGTTGTAATGGAATTATCTATACTTCTGTAGTTTGAACTTGTAACCATCCTATCAAAGTTTGGCAGACTCCATAGACTTACAGAAATACTTGATCTTAATTGAAAATCAGCAGCTTGAGTTTTGTTATATCAGGATGCCGTTTTAAACTTGCATTAGAGAAGGCAGAAGGCTGTGTCATTGATAGAAAATGATCCATTGTGACAGTGAGGATTACTAAATCTTATTTTGAGGAAAGAGTATACCTCCTTGTTATTAATCTTGCGGCTCTTGCATATAAACCCATGTATGATAAGTGCTCATAACCATAAAGCTATCATTGCTACTACATTGCGTGTATGCTTGGAGAAATTTATTAGATTCTTTCTGTTGCTATTTGTTAAAGCTTGTTGGTTTTGAAGAATCCTGATGATCTGGAAACTGATTGGGTTGGGACCAAACTGGAGTATATTTGAACAAGACATTATGAAACGTTTTCATTTTAATCTATTTTGATCCAAGAAAATAGAGACAGGTACCTAATTTGCCTATGAGGGATGTTTGGTTAACTAAACCACACAATTCAGTTTAGTTTAAAATGTCATCATTGTATGAATCACTGGATTGAACTGCATGCCAAATTCAGCTGAACAAATTTTACTCTTTTCATGGTTTGGTCTTTCAACTGGTTCAGTTTTTCAACAGGCTAAATAGTAGCTATAATCATATTGTTGTCTTGCTCTTGCACAAGATAAATGAAATGTTTGTTGAAATCAACATACCTAGATGAAGTGGGCCATGCACTAATTTATCTGATTTAATCTTGCTCCATTGGTAGAATTTTCAAGCTATGTTATACTTGCATTCAGTTGCTAACTTTTGTACCATGAATCTGCGTGCCCATAAAATATGCTTATAAGATGGATAGCTGTAAGTAGGTCATAGGTACCCAAGATGAGGTAAAATTGTTTCCATGGTTGTTTTGGGCTCTGTGCTAAGATAAGGGAATGCATCTTTAAAATTAATTCGAAGTTTATATCACTAAACAAATGTGTCCAAAATGAAAAGTAAAATTATATCATAGTTGTTTTTGGTCCTGAGTTAGGACAATGGAAAGCAGTAAAGCACCATTTCAATTCAAAGATTATTTCCTCAAATTAATTGGATTTCTTAATCTCACCTCCCAAAATTTTTTCCGTCTTTGTTTTTATTTAATTAACCTTTTCATATCTGTTTTCTTTGTTTGCTTTGTATTGGTTGGTCTATTCTAACTTCTTTCTCATATTATAATCCTTGTGATTTTGGTTTTTGGCTGGATGCAATGCAAATTTATAACATTTATGTTCTTCAGCAGTATGAAATGCTTCTTAAGCAAAGGAACTTGCTTATTCTTTTTTTTTTGTGCGTCTCTGGTACAAGCAGCTCATGGACAAATTAGTAAAAAAAAATAGTTGAACCTGACAGTGGTTAGTAGAAAGTTGGAGATGATAGGCAAACCTAGACACACGGTTCAGGTGGCTTGAATGTGCCTATGAGTCTGCCAGTAAGTGAACAGAAATATAATTTGTTCATTTTACAGTTTGTGAATCATGCATATGCCATGTTCCAGGGAACCAACCGTGAGCTTTTGGGTTTAAGAATACACTTTTGCATGACGTAAATGCTTGAATTAAGTTGCAATAGTCTGATTTTTAGGTCTTTTTGAAGGATTTCGGTGATGCTATTATTGTGCTTGTGAGTAACTCATAGTAGGTGAATGGTTTTAGTCTCCTGTATCATAACTAGTCGCCTGAACAGTGAAAGAAGTTCTTAATTATATGAATTAATATTCCAAATTGTGTATCCAGGAGCCATTTGTAAACATCCCAGAGGATACAATTCGCGATGCACTGAAAGTTGTCCTAGGTATAAACAAACACTTAACATTGTCACACTTCGTTTCTGGTCACTGGACTGTTAACTTGTTCAGGGATTTTACTTATACTCGCTTGTATCTGTGTACGTAATGCAGATGTAAGAAATCACCCGCTTCTAATCCATTGCAAACGAGGGAAGGTATGTGCAGTAATGGCTTTTTACTAAATCTCTTCATGATTTTGGTTATCAAGACCTAAATTCTATTTGGGTTTTGCTTTTTGCCTTGTTCAGCATCGAACTGGTTGTGTTGTGGGATGCTTGAGGAAATTGCAGAAGTGGTGCCTGTCTTCTGTCTTTGATGAGTACCAGCGCTTCGCAGCTGCCAAGGCCAGAGTTTCAGATCAAAGGTTTATGGAGTTGTTTGATGTGTCCAGCTTGAAGAATATGCCAATGTCATTTTCATGTTTGAAGAGGTAAATGACCAGTAACACAGAAATAGGCTTTTGCTTCCTTCGTTTTTCAGAAGAGCTGTCGTATTTCCTGCTTTGGATAGTAATAAACTGGAAAAGGTGGTGGTTTTTTGGAATGCTTTTCAGAGTGAAAGAATGTTTTTTCCCACTTATGAGGATATTAAAAATAATTTATCAACGATTTTCGCTTTGAATTCCCATGACATCATAGTAAGAATTGTTACTTCAGATGTGCTTGAATTCCTTTTAAATTCTGAGGATGTTCGTGATACATTGGAGCTCGTTTTCTCCATCCCAGTTCCTCTGGCCAAAGATGAAAAGGGTTGGCAGCTAGTTAAGGTTTTCGAAACTATAAATCCGGTTTTGATATTTTAATAGTAAACCTATTTAAATACTGTATAAATTACATGTACAAAAAAGAGTTTATCATGGTATCTGTACAACAAACTTAATAACCAAGAGAACCCTTGAAACATTAACCTTGTCGTAATAATGCAATTCTCCATTGTTAACCTAGATCAGGAGGCTGTCCTGCTGTTAGGTGCCTTTTCCATTTCTTCTGTTACTACTATTATTGAAGCATTATTCTTATTAGTACACCTCTATTTTTCCAAGTGTAGAATTAGTACTCCTTTACATTTTTTGATATTTTTCTTACTTTCATGAAATGTTATATTTGGTCAAGTGTAATACTAGACTAGATCGACGTTAAGCTGAAGAGATTTTATTCTTTTTAAATACTGACAAGAGCCGTTGGAACAACTCTTATCTATTAAAACCGTCAGATATTTTTTCTATAAGATAGATATTGCCGTTTTACATATGGACCCACCAAGAACTCACATGCAATACCAGATCAGCCCCAGCCGCTAGTTAGTTCGTTATGCCCAACCCACTGCAATAACTCAAAAGTGGAGGCAACAAAGCTATTCCTTATTGTGAGAAACTATTGAGCATTTATGTTTTATGGGCTTGTTTAAGTTATAACTTTTTAATACAAGATTGACACGGACATAAAGTGCTTTTTTTTTTGAGAAAAGAAAAGTCTCTCTCGCATTTAAAATTTTATGCACTTTTAATCCTTTTTTGAAAAACACTTTCTCGGAAGGAGAGAGAGAGTCAACAACGAAGGAAGCTGCAATTCAACTTCCATCTGTTTTTTCGGCTTTTCAGACTTCAGTGTAGGCAATTCGCTTTCACAACACAATAATTCAGTGGGAACCAACATCACGTATGTTACACACAAAAAATTCTAAGTAAATTTAATTTTCAACGCACGACTTTTAATTTCTCCGATTTTTAATTTAAATGCGGTGTCATTCAGCTATTGGGTAGCAATCAAGTGCATATGGTAAACTTCAGGCCTTGACTACCAAAGGTTGTTCCAAAGTCCAAACAATGTTTTTTATTGCAAAAATAAAGCCAATTTTATGGAAAAACATTGTTGAATCATTTTTTGTACAATAAGTAGTGGACAAAATAATACCTAAACTAATAACGTTTTTATGAAAATATAATTTGGACATAGTAGGTTTTATTGGAAAAAAAAAAAAAAAAAAGGTCAATTAAAGCGTAATATTGATATAATAACTAGTGCATATACCAAGGTTAAACCAAAATTGAAACGTAGGGTACTCGATTAGGACTGAACCAACAATCGAACAGTGATTATGAATTCAAAGCTTTTGGAACTCCTCATGCTAGATGTTTGTGAACAGTGATTATGAATTCAAAGCTTGGTGTCAAGTTAAGAAATTTAATTGAATAAAGGTGAATCTTAATGCGGTGAATAGATAGTTACTTCTCATAAAATTCTAATGATAGGGGGTGAAATCATTCCGAATATGGAATAAAATATAGAAATATTTAATTGGGCAGTTGAAAATTTTCTATTCATTTCTTTGTATTTTCTTTCATAGTCTAGTTCTTTATTCATTCTTAAGTGACTTTCTAGAACCCATCTAGGCGATGCATGCGGTACAAAGTTCATGATGTTCAATTGGAACATGAAAACGTGACTAAATTGGTCCTAGTTACTCTTCGGGACGGAGTGGAAAAAGGGAGGAGATTCTATCCATTAAACAATTGACGCTTTTCAAAACGTCTTTCGTGACGTAGAAACCTAAAATATAGTTAGTATTAGTATAAATATATAAATATAAGAACGCTCGATCAGTGAGCTATTACACACTCTTTCAAGGTGGCTGCTTAAAATGCCATTTTAGAGTTTTGTCAATAATTTCTATCAACACACTAAAAGGTTGATATGATATATTCGGTGTGGAAGTTTATAACAAAGTTTTTTTGTTGTTGATTCCTAGATGAATTATTTGATAATTCTTAGTTCCGGTTAGCCCCGATTTGGTTTATAAATTCGTTGCTTCTGAAAAAATCATTTCTCCTCCCGAAATAAGGTCATTAAATGGATCTCGAGCTTCCGCTTCACGTAGCAGCTGCTAATCGAAAGAAGGAACTTGGCAATGGCAGTTCCAAAAAACCGTAAATATAATTTAGAAATCATTGTATTACTTATTATTACTTTATTGATTGCAGTGAAATCTTTCATTATTTGATTTCTAACTTCTATTTTTTTTTCTTTCTTCTTCTTCACTGCTTTATTAAGTTAGGGAATCAAGACTTGAAGTAGACGACAGTCTGCCTCATTCTTTGATCTCGAGACAAAATCTCGTGGTGGTGGTATTTTTTATTTTTTTATTTTTGTTTTCTTAGAGAAGGTAAAAACTCGTGTTGTTGGCATAGCATTATCAATGAATGACAAATCAGTGGTGGTTGTTCAATCTGCATCCACCTCACATCTCAAATTAAAATTAAGGTAGAGGTGCAAGATTTAGGTAGTGTAGTCTCATGGTTCGCACAACGTGACATTCATATTTACTGTGAAAACCACATGGATTTTAATTGATTATGACACTAAGAAAAACTTTGAGAATGTAGATAAGGGATGTTTCGTAGACCCCACCCATCACATGGCTTCTCTTTTTCGTTGCTATTCTCCCGGAATTGAGGGTGTTGCTCAAAGTGCTGGAATTAGGTACCTGAACTAACTCCCCCCTTTGCTATAAATAATTCCTCTTGTAACCGTCAAGTTTTTAGCGGGAAAAAATAAATAAAAAAAAAAAAGTGTGTGTGTGTGTGTGAGAGAGAGAGAGAGAGTATGTGATAATGTGAAGCTTTACAGCTTGTTTTTGCAGTTGCTTTAAAGGGATATCACGGGAAATATGACCACCGAAAAGTCCCAACATTCTCAGCAAGCATCAGATGCAATGTGCAATTGTGCATTGCAAGGATGATATATAATTATATATATATATATAGAGAGAGAGAGAGAGAGAGATGAGTGGAATGAAAGGTGGAGAAGGCAGGCCATGTGAAATTCTGGACCTGTGAAGAGAAATGGGCCCTCCATCCCAACACCTCTTTATAGCTACATCTACGCCGGTGTTTCCTCTTCCATTTTCCTTTTCTTTACCAATATTCTCATTAACACATGGATCTAAAGTCCAACCAATCCTCTAACTCCCATTTCCACTCATAATTATTTATCAAAATATAAATACTTAATTAGTACAAAATATCCAACCAATGGGCTCCAAATATTGAATGCTAGTGAAGATAAGTTTGGCACACAATTGATAAGAATACACCAGTGTCCCCATTATTGTTCATCATCCATTTCATTGATTTCAAAAGTCCCACTTGAAACCCACTTCCAACTCATCTCACTCATATACCCATTTCATCACTCTAGCTGCTGCACCCACATCAGTAACAATCAAGAAAAGAAAGATGGACCCCACCCCCACAATCACCAAATCTAATGAAAGGCCCAATTCACTGTGTAAAAATGCTTTTTCTTCGTCACCACCAACAATTCCCATCACCTGTTACTGTTAGGTAAGGAAAAACATAAAAGAGAGAAAACCTAGCCACCTCCTCCACCACTAAAAGGGGCTTGGTTCTCCCGTGGGTACAATATATTTACAATCAACGTCCAAATCAATCAAAAATCACCATCATCATTGCCACCATCTTAAACAAATCCAGATTCCCATTCCCAGAATCCACCAAGCAAACACAGACAAATGCAAGTATCATTGCAAATAGATTCACGGACCTTAACAACCGCTTCAATTTGGAATTTCCCTACTCCCAAACAAACATAAGCACAAGATAATTTGGATATAATATCAAGAAAAGCAAAGCAAAAGAGTTTACACACACTCTAATTAGAACTTGGTTATTACAATACATCACGACTCCCTTAAATGGTACATTACCAAACAAATATGATTTAAGGGGTTTTTTTAAATAAATAAATTAAAATACAAGAAAAACATCAAACACTCTTTGCTCTTCACACAATTTGTTCTCCACAGTCAATCAATTAAGATTAAAAAATAAAGAAAATGAGGATACTCCCTAAAAACCGTATCCATGCCGTTGTCATATGTATATATAGTATAATTTTTAGAATAACTACAATTTTTTTTTTTTTGGTGGGTTTTATAATAACCATAAATTACGAGATTATAACATAAATCTTGGAATATAAGAAGTGTGCCTTTGTTGCCGGAAAAATAGTTTTCTTCTTTCCACGGTTAGAATAATCCAAATCCTCTCCTCCTGTATTACAATAACAAATACAATGTCACAAACTAAAAAATATATATATCATTATAAAAAGGACAGACACCATGTATTGTGTGCGTCACGTGTTTCCTAGTCAACCCAACAATCCTTCCCCTAACTAAAATGACACTCAATGACTTGAGAAGTTAGCAATCTAAAGATTCATACTCAACATACTGTTTACTTTTTAGTACTATCAATCTATTGTCCGAGTCCTAAGTACATATACATTGCCCCGATTGCTTAATCATCTGTTACACAACAACAACAACAAAAAATGAAAAAAAATAAAAAATCATCAGTTTCATTAAATTAATAATTTTTCAAAAAAAAAACTCTACTAGACTAATCTTTGTATTCACATATTAAAACCTGGTCCAGTGATTAAGGGATGTTATTTGGAGCTTTAATTGCACATATTTAAGGTTTATATAAAAATAATAATAAACCTTAAATCTAGTAATAATAATATTGGCCTAACCGTACACCTCACAGTTTGGGTGTCTCGGAAATAAATTTATGAAGTGCTTTAAATATATATATGTGTATGTCTAGTAGGTCTAGCTATACGCGGAAGCCATTTTCCTTTTTAGTTGGTTATACACGTAACACAAGGATAACATTTTATTTCCACGTGAAATAAATAGCTTCCTAATAGAAACTTATATATATGTGTGTGTGTCAACCACGTAATGATTGTCCAGGTAGATTTTTTAAAACAATACCAGCCTAAAATGAACACTTGGACTCGATATGATTGGATGTTTGAACCACTTAAGCACCATTAATCTGCCCACATGGACGTAACAACTTGCGAAATTAATATTTTTTTTATATATTTTTTTTTTCAGATTCTTACCTTTGTTGGCGGGGGTTATGTACTTTTGTGGTTATTCCCTCCAAGTCCTGCTGAAGATACTCCGGAGACGATTGCCGGAAAGTCTCTGCAACGCCTTCTTAGCTCCGGCGACCTCCGTCTCCGCAAGCCTCTGCAACTGCAATTGAGCTCCGGCCACCACCAGCCTCTTCCGGCAACCCTCACTCCCTCCCGCCATGATCGCGCCGATCACTGATACCGGAAACTTCTTGCTAACCACTTCGATTTTAGGATCCAACATCTGAACCAATCTCATGAGACTCTTCTCATCCCTCACCAAATCTTTCCGATTTGATCGGACCGTTAACAGCGACACCAACGCTCGCGCCGCCACCTCCTGCAACCCATCCGGCTTCGACGACTCCATTAGCTTCACCAGAGATCCCATACAACTCGATATAGCTCGCTTGTTGCCGTCGCTTATCGACAGATTGGCGAGTAACGAAGCAGATATTTGCTGAACGAGGATGTTTCCATGCTTGACGAGCTCTGCGATTTGTATAATGAAAGAAGTTGAACATGATAAGATCGTTGCAGTCGACTCGGAATTCGAGAGGATGAAAATCGCTCGCAAGACATGTTCCAATGTGTCTGAACTGGAGGAGTCATGAAGCAATTGAAGCAGTCTTTGCAATCCTCTCTCTTGCAATATCAGAGCTCGGAAATACTCGCCGGAGGAAGCGAGGATTGCGATGCAATTCGCAGCCTTTTCGCGTGCCGAATCGGTGCCGGAGACCAGCAACTGGACTAGAACAGGGACCACCCCTTCCTCCCCCAGAGCGTTCCTGATATCTTCTACGGTGGCGACGTTTCTGATTGCTCCGACGGCGTGTGATTGTGCAGCCAAAGATCCGGACCTACACACTTCGATCAGCACAGGAACACCGCCGTAGGCGGAGATCGCCCAAGCATTATCAGGATCTCCGGTGATTGCTTCCACGGCCATCGCCGCCTTCTCCTTCATCGCTGTCGACCCTGACTCGATGATTTTGAGCAGAGGTCCCAATCCTCCATCTTCGAACACACATTTCCTGGACTGATCACTCGCCGTGGCCAGAATCGACACAGCCGTGGCCGCCTGTTCTCGAACCAGAGGGTTTGCACTCAGATCGAGCAAACGAATCAAATAGCCAACATTACCTTCCTTGGCAACCAAAGTCGCGGACTTTTCGTCATCGGCGAGCAGCTGAAGCAGATGCTCCATAGCCTTCTTCTTGAACTCAGTCCCTCCGATCTGTAACCTGGTGAAGAGGTCCCGAATGAAAAACCCTAAATCTTCCTTGGCCGAACCAGGACCGGGTTGGGAGAGAACGATGGCATTGGATTGACGGAGGACTCCGGATCTGTGAAGCAAATCGATGTCCTGAATGTGCTTGGAGAGCCAGGAGGTGGCCATGTCGAGGTCGCTCTGCATGAGGAGCTTCCCGACATTGTAGGAAGGGTCGGAGCATTGGTGGGAGAGAGTCTGGATGCGTTGGAGAGTGGAGAGGAGGTTGGGAAGAAGGGTTTGAACCAGTGGGTTTTCGGACCACTGAGGGGAGTCAACGATTTCGGACACAGAGGACTTGAGAGAACAGAGTTTTGAGTGGAGGAGTCGCCAGCGGCCGGTGAAGGAGGTGATGGAGAGGGAGGAAGGGAGGAGGTCAGAGAGGAGGTGGTTGATGTGGTCTAGGGTTTGCGGCTGCGGCGGCGGCGACGGTGGTTGTGGGGCGGTTGGATGCATTTGGGCCTGTAGCTTTGGACCCACTGGTTAGGATAGGGATGCGTTGAAGATAAGCTCAGAGGTTGAAATTGAATACATAGAGAAGTGTAGAGAGAGGAAGAGAGAGTTAGGTTTGATGTTGATGACACTCTGCTTTGTAAACGATGAAATGAAGGATTGCTTAGTTGGAAGGGTAAGTGGAGGGAGAGAGGGGCTTGGAGGAGAAGAGGTCTGACACGAGAATGGAGAAAAGCGAAGCTATCGAGAGAGGCTGTGTGGGGTTCTAGGTGAGGAGAGAGATTATACTTTTCAGGAAGCTATGGCCTGTGTGTGTGTGTGTGTGTGTGTGTGTGTGAGAGAGAGAGAGAGAGTCGTTAACGTGTAAGAAACGGGTGGACCGTGACCGTGAGTCCATGACCGTGTCGACATGAGTTGCGTTGAACCCGAACCATATAGTGGGATAGAACCCGATTCAGTGTACTACCGGATCATAAAAAGGGATTAAATTTTGTACATTTTAAGCCCAATGAAAATGATAATTAACGTAATACTTTTCATAGATAGTCCAAATCCAATTCCGGTTGTAATTTATGTAACACCGAATTAAGAACTAAGTGTAACTTTAATACAAATTACAGTGGATGGACGCTTACTAATTTAAACCCAATAATTTTTCTATTCAATTCGAATGTGAGACAAACTCTATAGTGTAACACTTGGGTTCATTGTGGGGCAATGAATGTATGATCCAATTTAGAATTGATTCCATAACTTTTTTTTGCCCTTTGAGCACCAAAGCAAAATAATAGTCATAGGTCAGCAGATTCATGAGTGTGACTTTATTAAGGCTGGTTACATGTCCAATGTGTTAGCAGAAAGTATTGCATTTATTTGGTTTATGGGGCATTGTTTCCAGGATTGGAATGCCCCTTTTTTAATGCCTCTTTTATTGTCTGTGTTTTTATCCCTCTATTTGAAACTTGGAATGCACTAACTAAAATTGGACCAATACCATTACATCAATTAATTGTTCATATCTTAGTTATGGATGGTTTAATGACGCCATCCAACTTTGCTCTTGCAGGTGACACTTATAATCACTTATTTCTTTCACATGTCTCACTGCCCAAAATTTAATAATGAACCCAATAATCACTTATATCTCTCACACACAATCATACCATTGTGTGTGCGAGCCAGAGGGGGAGAGAGAGTTATTTCTTGACATGCTTTCAATTGTTATGTTCATTCATCTCTAAAATGCTAAAATAAATAAATAAATAACCTCTAAAAAATAAAATAAATTAGATTAATTGTATTTAAACTTATAACTTAGGCTAAATAATCTGATTTAATTAATTGTAATAATTAGATGTCTTAAAGTGGGTCATACTAGATACCTACTTTAATATATACGAGCATAAAGGTTAATAAATGTTTTTTTTTTTTTTTTTTTTTTTTTTTTCATACTAAGAAACACACTTACTTTTGACCAGCCTGGTAAAATTAATGAATGATTACTATTCGACCTAACAACTATGGGAAATATTTTTCTAAAAATTAACATTTGATCAACGTTTATGTGATCCATTACAAGATATACTATTTATTAACTCATTTCTCAATAGTTAAATCAAAAGTTTTTTATTTTTTTTTGTTAAGTTATATTAAAAAGGACGTATAATGCACTTCCAATTAAATGATAACGGCACAAAATGCAAAAAAATTAACATAATGTTTTTTTTTTTTAGTCAGCACCAGGAACTCCCCTAGGCAGGGCCCCTTACCCACCCCAGTCTACAAACCTGGGGGTACAGAGCATCGTCCCAATGATACACCAGGTAAGTCGGGGGTGATAATGGTGTTGGGAAACGTGGTAGATTTAAAAAACTCTTTTGAGAGATTTTGATTCATAAATCTTAATTCATCACATATAGACAAGTTTTATGCAAAAATAAACTATGATGTATCGTTCAATTAACAGATTGAATATTTACGTCAAAGGTCTGAGTAAACCTTTAAATCTTTCCTCTAAAGTGAATGTTCTCACTTATTGTACATCCCTTAACAAGATGCCTTCTTCTTGGATCTCCATCTTCTTGGTAATTGTTTTGCCTTTAGGAATCACTCATAAGCCTCCATGAATGACCTTAGAAAACTAGGTTTGTGGGAGCCTCCATTAGATAAGAACATAAATCCTAATTTTCTAGAGAGAGAAAATATATTCTTTTTTCCTTCTCATAAAAATCACTCATAAAATATATATAAACCATGTATATTTATAGGTAACATAAAGATAAAGAAAAGGAAATAACAAATCCTTCTCAATCTCTAATTCACATGTCTCAAATTTAATATGATTCCAATATCAAGTTAGGCTACGAGTGAGAATCCATTGGGCCTATTATTTTATTGGCTATAATAAATTAATAATTGGCTCGGTCCATGACCAATTCAATTAATTCATAAATTAATTTCTACTCCACTAAAAGAAATTAATTGAACTCTAATTAAATAATAAATAACCTCTAAGTCAATATTACACTTTGACCCCTCTATACATAATTAATTATCGGATAAATAAAGCCATCAATCCGACTACTTAATTAATATATTTATTTTGGTACCATTGATTATTTCTGGCTCGATCACCATAAAACATTTGTTTGACAAAAATAATAATTTAAATAAATAAATATATAATAAATCATTTTGTCTAAAAATACACGAAGACCTTCGAATTTACTTTGTGATCAACCATAATCAATACAAAATAAATACAAGTAGCAATGATGCAAATATTGAAAATATAACCCTCTAACTATTAATTACATAACTACCCAAAATGTCGGTCTAAGGATCCCGAAGAATCCGCCGAACAAATCAAAGTAATTATTAATTAATAAAAGAGTCTATACTTTTCTCATACTTAAGAACCAAATGTCATGACGGTGATAAGGAGCAATTGCATACGACGACTCTCGCAATATATCTCAACCTAACGCGGATCGAGTTCAAGTCTTAATTAATTATGAGTCCATCCATAATTACCGATTATGAATCATTTATGATTACTATTTATATTCATGTATTGATCGTCATCACATACATATATAAATATCTCTTGTAATCAAGTGGACACTATCAATTCTATAATGAATCGAAACATAATACATTGAATTCACCAATTGTATAAAATATAAATATTTCAGAAACGTCAGGAACATATGTCACTATAATCCAGATAGGAATTTTCTATGCCAGGGCATATAAATCCCAACAAATGGAGGCTGGCAAGGTTCGAACACTGGCCAAGTGGTAGCCAATGACAAGCCCTTACCAACTCATCCAAACCCCTGGGGGCAAAATTAACATAATGTTGCGTTTGAAAACATTGAAAGAAAATTTAGTTGGAATTAGAATAAATTTAATTTAAAATTTTAATTAAATTTATTTCAATTTTAAATCTACACTGTTTATTCAATGCTCCCAAATATAACATGAAAGAATGCTCCCAAATATAACACGAAGGAGGATAGTGCCAAGATTTTGCAAATCCAGTTAAACCAGACAGATCAAGAAGATAGACAGATTTGGGGTTTTTCGGCTGGTGGGATTTTTTCCGTTAAATCAGCTTACTATGTAGCTTTACAGTTGAAGAGGGGTTGCTCGGTTCCGGTGGTTAATCAGGAAGAAAGCAGTTCTATAAGGGTCAGGGCAGTTTTTTGGTCTCGAATTTGGAAAATGATGGTTAAGCCCAAAATTAAACATTTTAATTGGAGATGTTTTCATAATCGAGTTGCCATTTCAGATCAATTGGTCAGGAAAGGTATGTCCATGGATGGTCTTTGTAAAGTTTGTGGTTTGGAGATAGAAACTTTAAAACACCTACTGTGTGATTGTCAATCAGCAAAATTAGTTTGGAAAGGTTCCCCGTTACGAATTGATGTATCTTCAGTTGGGAGGAGTACATAGGGCAAATAGTGGATGAAATTAATCCATTCGTGGGATGGATTAAAAGACAACAATATTTTAATTGGAATAGCTGCAAACTTATGTTGGTATTTATAGAAGTCTCGCATAGATTCTGTGTTTGGTAGAATTGGTTGGTCTGGCCAGAAGATCATTGAAGTTGCTGTTGGGCAGTTTTGAGAGTTTTATCGGGTTCATTCAAAAAATATTCATGATTCCTAGAGTCTATTCCTATTCCTTCTCCTTTGCCAGTGCGTTGGTTGCCGCCGAATGTAGGATGTTTAAAGGCTAACGTTGATGTAGCAGTTAACACTTTCTCTAACGAAATTGCTGGTGGTCTAGTGATTAGAGACCACAAAGGGTTGGTAATTTTTGCTGCTATATTCTACTCGAAGTTTTTATCTTATCCCACAGTTGGGGAAGCATCTGTGTTGAGGCAGGCAATGCTCAAACTAAGGGAGCGATTGTTGTCACGGGTTATTTTTGAGTCTGATGCTAAACAGGTGGTGGACATAGTTAATAGGACTCAGGTATGTCCAATCGTTTTGATGCAGTTAATTGAGGATGTCCAGATGTGGTTGAAGTATTCAAATGGGTTTGCTGTTAAGTTTGTTCCCAGGGATGCCAACACTGCTGCCCCTACTCTAGCAAAGTATGCTATGTCTAGGAAGGTCGATGCTGAATTTTCTGATTTTTTTCCTCCTGTTTTGATGGATGCTATAATGGAGCAGTGTATTTGACATGCCTATTAATATATTTTCTTGCCTTAAAAAAAAAAAAAAAAAAAAAAAAAAAAAAAAAAACATGAAAGTATTATTCCAATAAAATTATTCTTTTCATCTAAAATAACTCTATAATAACTACACTTATTATTCAAAAAAGATTTTTTCGTGAATCATAACTCAATCATTTTAATAATGGTAAATTTTAAAAATATTTTGGACAACTTTGATTACACAGTGAATAATAACTAATTTTATTACTTAAGATTTAATATTGAAGAAAGGTAGTATATCATTTAATACTTTCTATTTGCAAGTATCAACAAGTCATATGAAATTTTATTAAGACACTTTTACTTTCATTGCATATTTTAAATTCAGTTTAGAATTCTATTATTAATAAATTTATTTATTTATTTTTTCTAAATTGTCATTCTGTTATTGAAATGCCATTTGTAATGACCCCGTCATTTTCCTCCCTTTTTTTCTGAAATTTTACGTATAAATTTTTTCCATTTAATTTTCTCTTCTGAGTTCTGTTTCTCGTCGTTTAATGTCATCTCGAGTGCTCGGAAATGATTTTTGAGACTCTTTCGTTTGGATTGACAAATTCCTTTGAGGACCGAGTCATTTTCACATTTTTACTTTTCGGACACTCTTCACTTTTTGTC